ACCGTGAAAATTTGACGGTATTTTCAAGTGACTTTTATTGAATACTGAATAGGAATAATTATTAAAAAATAAATCTAAAACATTTCTAATAAGATTAATCATGATCAATGATTATAGAAAGGAGCGAGGCACTGTATACCTATGTCGGCATTCGTTGAGGGCCAAAAACGTCGGCAGTTAGTGGTCATTACTACATCATACCATTCGCCAACTATCTGGAGAGCAGAGAATCTCTGTAAAAATGGCGTTTTCTGCTTCCGCAGCAGCCACCCGGCCATCAAAGGCCGAAGTGCTTTCTCTCTTCCGTTCTCTCCTCCGCACGGCGCGCCTGTTTCCCGATTACAACATCAAGGCATACACCAAGCGCCGAACCATCGACGGCTTTCGCCATAACCAAAACCTCTCGGATCCTTCTTCTATCGCTTCGGCGTTATCCGATGGCAAGGCTCAACTGGAAATCGCCAGAAGGCAAGCGATCGTCCACTCGCTCTACGCCCCAACTGTCAGGAGCATTATGGAGACGAATTCCGAGCTCACATGTTAGGTTTCGGGCTATTAACTTATCCCCATCTTATTGCCAGTTACAGGTTTCGGACTGAGAGAGGCTTATTAATGTATAAACTTTATTAATGATCGTAACATGTAGACCAGTTCTTGATATTGACCATGTTTGTGATTGATTGAGAGAGGCTTATCAATGTATGCTTTTTACGGATGATCGTAATATATAGACCTGTTCTTATCGGATGGTTGTTTTGATGTAAGATACCAGTATTTGTGTAGGAGGGTTGTATTAGAGGCTTAACAGTAAACATAAAACTTTGGGTTATCCCCTCAATTATAAGCCTATGAGGAGCCAAGAAAATTGAATATTCCTATATTGAAATTCTCGTAGCTTTTAGAAGGAATGCCTGAGTTTTCCAATCAACGCATCTTTCAGTTTCTTGACCTGCTCCTATAGAAGGTTGGTATTGCATGATGTCATTGACGCAAATTTTTTTCCAGATCAGGGAATTATAGTTCGGAGTATCGCATTTTTAGAGTTTAGATTCAATCAATCATTGTCTTAGAAGAGAATATAGCTGGAGGATAGATGAGCCGTCTATATGGGGAAGTTGGGAAGACTAGTCATAACTCCTGGAAACAGGCAGGTGAAGTTTAATACGTTGCACATTTAAAATTGTGCAAACCAAAATCATATGTATTGAAGAATTTGTTTTATTGATCCCAAAAAAGTAAAAGAAAATTACAACAGCGAAAAGTAAAGGATCAGTATAAGGCAATAGGAGAAGCTGGAAATGAATATGGAAACTCTGCCCCCTATTTTCCAAGTAAACGACGGCCACGTTGGTTAGCACCTTTCATGCGGAAATTCAACTCATCCACATCATTGTACACATGATCAATGGCCTTGTTTTGCCTGCAACAGCACCAACATTACCAATAGACAAGTCACGTTAAAAGTTGTTTTGTTGGGAATTTTTGGAAGTGTTGCTTAAAATGTTGCTTATTTTCGCAAGGATAGGGCAAAAGATTTTCTTCTAGTGCTCAAGAACAACTGGAAGGTGAAATTAGATAGGAGAATAAACGAATATTTAACTGACCTATCCATTTCGGATCCCATGTCAACAGCCATGTCTTTCAGCTCTCCCAAGATATCACTTAAATTTGACAGTGCATCATCTTGCTTCCCCTTCTCAAACTGTTTAAGGACAGTTATTTATTAGCCAATTATGGAACCTTACATCATCACAGAAGATGAAAATAACAAATGGAAGTGGCATTATCCAAGTTGGACACACACAGACTACATACTGATGGGGTTAATCAGAGTAAGATGAACAAAATTGCCAGAATATCGGTAGTTGCTAATAAAGAATGCTTATCTGGACGAGTCATCGGCCAGTGCAACTAAAAGCTATAGTAAGAATCCACCAATCCCATATTTTTGCAAGAGAGATTTATAACATATCAAGAGCCCTTAAGATAATTGAGTTTGTCACGCCCTAGCTAGCTTTAGACAAGAGGTTAATGTTCACTGAATGATACAAACCTCAACTTTTTGAAGGGCATCTGTCGGTTCAGGAGGTGGTGTCCGGGACTTTGACTGCCCTCTTGGTGCAGAACTCAATCCCAACTTCTCTCTCTGCTCCAAGTGGCTGCCTTTTCTTCGTACTGGATCATCTGTGTTATGAAGTATATCATGCATATGTTACATACACGTACATACATAAAGGTAAGTGGAGGGGAAAAAGAATAAAACCTCCAAATATAATAGGGCCAGTTATGTTGCGTGTCTTCTTTGGTTTCCAAGTTTTGGAAAACATGCCACCAAGGCTTCCCAAGAGCTTTTCTCCCTGTAAAAGGCATTCAAGCAGTTTAGTCCAGAATATCATTAGAATGTTACTTTACAGCAGGCTGTATAGCAAAGAAGCAATAGTCTAGGTAAACGGACACCAAGAAGCCACTCAATATAGGAACACTGAAGCATGCACTAAATAACTCTTTAAAACCAGAGTGGTACCCGACTAAGATCCTGATCAATGTCGACGGCAACATGGTGAGTCCTGGTAATCTGCTCTCCTTGTTGATGCAGGGTGACTAAAGTCTTGGTAGCATCCTCTCTCATATCCTCTGCTATCTTCAAACAATTGTTAACTGATTTTGTCGTCTCCTCAGCCTTGTAAAAAGCATAATTCTCCAATTCTTGCACTGACTGATTTTCTATTCCTCCTGAGTCACGAAAATCATTCTTATACTTGTTTCGGTCTGCTGATCGAGGGGCATAGGAAGATAATGAAGAGTTCCCATTTACATCATAATCATCAAAAGGGTTGGTCTTGACCTCTGTTGTTACCAGGGTAGGATCTGAAGAACTCCTCCTAGAGGAATTATAATTTTTGCCGTCCTTTGCCAAATCATCAGAATCAAACGGGTTTGACTTTGATTGGACAGGATAGACAGGATCAACAGAATTGTGTTTTGAGAACTTCAAGGGAGATTTCTTAGAACCAAACATTCTCTCGAAGTCACCACTAAGCAGTAAGCAAGAACACTTTGCAGAATTTGGTTAGAGGAAGAGCAAGGTGAGGGGGTAAATCAATTTAACAAGAAACAACGGTGTCCTAAGTAACGTGAACGCAGAACAATTTCTCCCTGCAAAAATAAGCAAGAACTGTCATGCACTGTCATTGTAGACAAATAGGCAATATCATACTATCAAGGCGCTAATTACGAATCAGTTAGTCTTCCTAGGATAAAAGAAAACCAGTCTTTATCAATAAGGGTACGTTCAATAAAATTACTTAAGAAGGAAGTCAAAAGACGACGAACTAAAATATCGAAGATTAACGGATTCACAAATTGCAGGAAGAATTCATTAACACAATCTCAAAGCCGACGAGAAAAAAGAGGCGTTAAAACTTATATAAACTGACGACGGACTCGACAACCTCTTCGGTCTCTTTAGCTCGTCCGAGAATGAACGAAGAAAAAATCTTGGATAACGAAAAGAATTATAAAAGCTTCAATAATAGCTTCAAATTCCAATCAACAGAGATAGAGAGGAAGCAACGTTGACCATTAGGTGATCATAAAAACCATCAGGAGTCCTACAATTATGGGCTTGAAACAGTCAGATGATAAAAGAACCAATTAGAGAACAACAATATAACCAAATTCAGGAAATAGCAAACACTAGATTAACAGCAACTGTACAGAAACTCAAAATCAATGATTGTTGAAGAAAGTAGAGATAAGTTGGAGAACTACACGATGAAGAGAAACCGCAACCGACGAATGTGCAGAAAGAAAAACCGAAAGAACTAAGAGAGGAAAGTAATACCCAACATTTTAAAGCCTTCAGTCCCAAGAGAGGGAGAACAAGAAATAAGAAATGGGAGAAGGAAAGGGACTATTTCAACTGAAAGAACCGGCAAATGTAGAAACCTTGCAAAATCGCGTCAAGAAAAGAGGGAGGGTAGGAAACTGCAACGAAGCCAGGATGGGTGGAGCGAGTACACAATATTTATATATATATATATATATATATATATATTTTGCGTAAGCACTCGAGAAGGGCCCCAAGCAGCTTAGGTAATCACGGCGGGTGTTTTTGGGATGGGGGCCACACATCACAATCGCTCTCAGAATTCGTCGTTGGCGTTGTTTAGATTTCATTTTTGAGTTTTGAATAAATCAAGCATGGACGCCATTTATGATTTTTTTTCTTTTAATTGTTGGGATGGGCCATGTTGGAAGTCATTTGATTCAGACCGAAAACCGTATCACTTTGTCAACTCCTTGGATGATTAATATATATATTTTTCATTTATCCTATTTCGTTGGATTGACAACACCAAAACATTCCGTGTGACGTATGAGGAAATTTCTGGTTTATTTTATTTTTATATCTTGCTCTTCAAAAGAGAATTCCGAGCCATTAAAGAACATGCTGCAGCCATTGACTTCCTATGCTATTTACATAACTTTTTTGGCCAGTTACTATTTTAAATCGGTGAATGATTGAATACACACACACACATAATATATTAATATAAATTTATAATAAAATTCGTCCTTTTATAAAAAAAATAAAAAAAAAATTTTATCTGAAATTATATCATTTACGTTTTTTTGCCAACCTCAAATTATACTATTTGCAAATCATAAAATGCATGAGGATTTTTGAAATGATGTATAATACCAAAAATATCTAATAACATATTCACATAAATATATGCAAATTCAATATACCAATCACTCGAGAATACGTACATGAGTGCATACAGAGTTATCCACACACCCAAATATAGAGGTGCGAATAAGTGAGGGGGAATTTGAACTCAAATTTAGGACATTTAAAATACTAAAAATCTTTATACCCAACATAAATAGATGAATTTACAATTACAAGAGCAACTGTTATGCTCAAGCCATGACCTACGATTCGTCTAGGGCGTACTGAAAACATCACAATACTAGGTTGCTCACGCCCAATATAAAAAAATAGCAAAATTTCAAATGACAGAATTTGACCTAAAAGTCAATCCTTCACAACAGACATTCCCACCCTGATCAAGACTATTGCAAGAAAGAAGCGAGAGAGAGAGAGAGAGAGAGAGAGAGAGATCGCAGGCATCTGTACAAAAATTCAATGTGTTTATATCAATTCTTGCACCCCATATCACAAAATACACTGTAACACGCACGAGCTAGTTCTTCTGTACAGCCACTTCATTTCTCTTCTCCAGGAACCAAGGCATGAGAAGACATCCTACATCTTTCAGTACATCTGTCCACGATATAGTAATTTTATCAGCAGTATATTATGCAAAGCAATTACAATCAGCACAATAACAATACATCATTGAGAAAGAATAACAATTCATAAACAGACCGCGTGAAAGGATTAAAAGGGCTCCAAATATATAACTAGGCACAAACCTCTAAGATGAGTCTCTTCTGATGAACTTGAAAAACTTTGAATAATTCCAGTTTCTACACTTCAGGGAGACCGCGGACAGCAAATAAAGATTTTCTCTGTTCTCTTTGAAGCTTGATTGCAAAGAAAAAAGGATGAAAGTCACGCATTTTCTTGGATTAGCTTCTGATAGACGAGAGAAAGGAGGCCATGAGTTTACAATTATACCTGCGCTTCTAACTCGGCAATTCTTTGCAAGGATGCCTGTTCAATGCGAGCACGATGCTTACGTTCTTCTTCTAACAAACCTGTAACTTGATATCTAAGCTCTGCCATTTCTTGAGCAAGGTCCCCTGCTTCTTCTTTGGCCTTCAACTTTTCTTCTCTTAATTCTTCCTAGTAAAAGTTTGAAATCACTATATACATGTCCAGGCTCTAAATAAACTTGAGTAGATCAAATTGCGCAATTAAAAAGGTACACTGTATTTTCACTTCTGTATTTCAGGAATAGACGCCAACCATTTCAATATTTATGCTTCAATAATGTACACACCTTAAGTTTCTCCACAAGTGTTTTATATTTTTGCATCTGATGTGACATCTTCTGCATCTCCTCTTTAATATCTGCATCTGTTTCCAACGCCAAAGATAGCCTCCCAAGGAGTGGACCCAATACTTCTCCATAAACGCTTGGGAAATACATGAAAATATTGTCATAAATTTTGCGAAAGAATGCTTCAATTCAGTAAGTTCAAATTAAAATAATTTAAAGGAAACAATTCAATTATGAACCTAAATCATCAGTAACTGCCAGCCAAAGAAGATCACATGACAAAAAATTTCCTCTCGGGAATTGTACACTAGTGTCCAAATTGACATGTTGAGTATTTCCTGGTATGCTTGCCGTTTATGGAATATTACATTCAACAGTTGAGATTAAATGATTGAAGACCATATATATAGGAATTACGACCCAACTGGAACATTATTTGGCTAATAAAATTACAAATAAACCAAGGCACTTCTTCAACTTTCAGAATCCATCATCTATATCCCTACATTTAAACATACAATCTCAAAAGAGTAAAAGGAGCAATTAAGTAAAGTGTAATAAGTTTAATGCTTACAATATCAGGCATCCACTTAATGATAAAAGTAAAGACACTGTGGCTCTGAAATATTACTAATCAGTGCTTCTTTTAAGGGAGAACATTTATTAGCAAGAAAGAAGAAGAAAGTAGAAAGAGACGCCCGATTTGATTTTATGCCCTTGAAGAAGAGAAATTGGCAATTTCATTCTGAAACTATCAAATAAAAGATCAAGCAAAACTGCCAGAGTCAGAAGCTGACCACCATAGAGGAAAACCATTGTCCTTCCATTATAACACAATTATGATAGCATACTTAACAGGACACTTGTTACATAGATTAGCTGAAAAACCAAACACCTTCCATTGTATACCTTATATCCTTTGATATGTCTGAACCTTCTCTTGTCCGCTCAAGGAAGACTGACCATTGAGTTGTGATCCGTCCTTCTTTTCTAGCCACTCTTCAACCTTCTGAGAAAAATTTCTAGTGTTCAAATTGACGGCATCAATCTTATTCTTAAGTTTCTTATTTTCCTCATTCAGAGAGACAATATTTTTTTGGGCTTCCTGAAATTTAAACTGAAGCTCTCCAATCAATCTACTCATTCTAGTGTTTTCCTCCAGAGTTTCCTCTTGTATTTTCTTAGCCTCAAAGTGACTCTGCTCCAAGGCCATCATGTCAAGTTTCATGCACTCTACCTCACATTCAGACTCTAATGCCATGGATGAAATTGATTCCTTCAATCTCTCTACGGACAGTGTTGACTTCTCCAATTCCATTTCTTTAGTCACTAATTCCTTCAACAAGAAAAGTTGTTCAGAATTGGATCTCTGCAGCTCCTCTTTTAACCTGATAACCTCATCTTGTAAGCCTTCCATATCCTTTATCTTCAGTTTAAAGCTGTAAACAAGCTCTTGCAGGTATTTGACCTCCGTGTTCCTTCCATTAAGCTGATCGTTAAGGTAATCTGTATCAAGTATGATCAAATAAAGCCAATGAGTAAAAACCTCCCAAAAAAAAAAACCCAATAGATAAATCAAATTCATCGAAAATGGATGATTATTACAACTTAATTTGCTGGCCAAAAAGAACGAAAAAAAATGCTATGTTATTGAACGGCAATCATCTGTTGCACAAAAGGTTCACTTATGAGGGTAAAGACGTGCAACTTATATGCATATAAATAAAACAGAATTGACAACATGGACTACTTTCAATCTATCAATAATCTGAAAGAGCTTTAATTACTTTCACAGAAAGAACCCATTCAAAGAGCATCTAAAGCTAAGAAACATGACAAACTACCTATTTTTTGAGAGCAGTTCAATAGCTCTTCTTCCAACCTCTGTATGTGTTTCTTATCTTTTATGCTAGTCTCTGATAATGACTTCTCATGCAGTTCTATTATCTGCATCAATGGCAAAAATCAGACTAGTATCAGATAATAATGTTACATTCCCACTCTCCCTACAAAAATATGTAAAATGCCTGATTAAACATAATGTAATATAACAGCTTGAACTCAATCTGGTGTGACGTACCCGGATTAGCTCAAAAATTTGGGATTGTGAACAATTTATCATGTCTTTCTCTTTTCTAAGCCGCATGTCAAACAGAATTCACATCAGTAAAAAGTTCAAATGATATACTACCTCTAGTCCTTAATATAAGACCCTGTTTGACTTTTATTTTGGTCCTAAATATAAAACCCCAATCCATTTTGTCTCTCATATTTACTCAATTTTTTCCGAGATAGTCCTTCCAATAATCATAGTTCTAGTTAATACACTTGATTAGCAAGGATATTTTATGAAAGACAATACTTATTTAGGACAAATAACTAACTCAACTTACTTTCTTAATCTCCTCAAATTAGTCAACTGGCTCTTATAATTAGGATCGGAGGTAGTATAAATTACATACAGCATGGAAAAGGGTTCTGTTCTTTTAGGACACACAATTAAAGTTTGTTAAAGCAGTCAACAATATATATATATATATATATGATGAACCAGTTTGATTACATATCAGTAACCCATGTAAGGAGTTATGTTCTCTCGAGCACAGAATGAAAGTCATCCAGTCTTATGTGACTTCACATTCCTAGGGCACTACAAGTCTATGGCAATGTGACTGCTATCATTTATGCAAGATTTGCTACAAATAAGTAGAAGGCTAGAACCCTATTTTTGATGTCTGAAGGGATAGTTCATTTTCCCCTTTATAATAAATGCAGTCAGACATTCCTCTCTTGGTTTTGGAGGTTTTCTTTTGTCATTGTCTGTTATTTTCTTATCCTAAGTAGATGAGTACCTGGAGAAACACAATGAATGTGCAGAAAGAAAACCCAAGTTCCTTGTCAAACTAAACCCAAGTTCCTCCGATCATTGTTGAAGTTGGTTGCTGTTGTTGAAGTACATTGCCTTGTCTGAAGTAACTCATACTCTATGAGATTGCTGTCACCGAGGAGGTCACTGAAGCAACACCGATTGTGATAAACTGGTAAGAAGCTTGAATATTGTTCTTTATAGAGTATTTCTAATGGGTCCCCAAAGCTAAAAATATCGTTGTCGAGCATTTCTCTTTCTGGTTCTATCTTTGTTCTTCATATATAAGTTGCTTTAGTTTCAAAAAAGTTGTTTCCATCTTTTTACTCATGTGTTAACTTGTGTTCACATTTGACAATAATTCTGTTTTATAGTGTTTAATCCCTAGTGAGTGGCCTTTAATTGGAAGAGAGCATGGCTTTTGTTGCGTTGATTGTTTTCTTTTGATTTGAGGGAAATGAACTAACTGAAAATGATAATTCATCTGCGTTATTGACTCAGGTAAGAAGAGTATAGCTTTCTATGTGGATAAGATGAGATTTTAAGGAAGTTCAATTTAGTTAAACTTTGTCTTCATGCATGGCAACCATGGAGTTACTTCCATTTTGAGAGAATAGTTTAGGCTAAAAATTTTGTCCTTTTATGGCTTAAATTTACAAAGGTTATCATGTTCTGCTAATTTGAAAATCAGTAATAAATTTTATTACCTCAGTAGTAAATTTCACGGGGTAAGTCGTAAACAGTAACAACTCTTGGTATGTAAACGACTATATTTGTATTGGTAATGACAGCTTTACTGTAAACAAATAAAATTGACATGTTATTACAATTCTGCAAATTTGTTAATGGAAGTAACCAAATTTGTTATGGAAATGACAACATTGTTGTGAAGCAAATTCAGTTGATTGGGCAATGGGATTTAGGTTATTTGTTAATGAAATTTACTACATTTATTAATAAAATTGATGACATTGTTCTAAAGAAAATATAGTATAATGAATGACTATGAAGTGGTGTTATTGCAAGAGGAAAAAATGGTATTAGAAGGAGAAGGAGAAGGAGAGCCAAGTGGAGAAATGAAGAATGGGTACATGTTGTTTCAAAATGAATTTTAAGTCGAGAAAGGAGTTTAGGAATATGAGACAAGAAGTTAGGGAGTTGTTGAAGCAGTTGCCACCAAAGGAAAGAAAGAAATATAGTGATAAGGTTAAGCAATCAAGGAAGCAAGGGATGAAGAAGAAACGGATGAAAAAAGTTTCTTTTAGCACCCGTTACTCACTTTGACAATATAAGTCATAGGTAGAATTTATAAATAATGATGAAAGATTGAAAGCCAAGGTGCAAAGTTTAGGACTCTCAAATTTGCTTAACATAGGATGTGAGAGAATCCCTCGTAACCTCATAGTATGTATGCTTCAATCATATAATCCGCCTACCTATCAATTTAGAATAAGGAAGCAAATCAAGGAGATAGAAGCAAAAGATGCTGCAGAGTTGCCGAATGTACTCCACACAAGGGAAAAGGTAAGAATGGACGTGGATGATGATGATTAAACATAAGAATGTTGAAGAATGAATATAGTAAAGTCTCTTTTACCAAAATACTCAAAAACACCAAATCTGGGGAGAAGGAAGATAACTTTGAATTCTTGTTTATGTTGTATACACTTAGGAGTTTTCTAAGTCCTACTTCACAAATAATTGTAAGTGACAAGCTAGTAACCATGCATAGATTTCACTAATTTGATTAGGCCACATACATCATGAACAACTTGTGGAAAGAGATGGAAGATTATATCAAAGTATATAGATAGCCAAAAACAGACAATGATGAAGGGAGTTGGAATGTCGGAGAATGCATCTAACTCTTGTTGGTATGTATTTATTGCCTTTGTTTTTTTTTTATTTTTTGCTTGAATCATGTGATTAAAAAGTTAATAATTTGGTGTTGTAGTTATATTTTGCTAAGCGCTTCCCATGGTCTAAAGCTGTTAAGCATGGGTTAATGAATGTTATTCAGCTCTGGACTAATAAGAAGATAAGGGATATGACAAAGAAAGAAAGGGAGGGCTATAAAGACGTATTGTATGAGAGGAAGGGCACTAAAGTTAGGGTTGAGAATGAGGAGAAAAAAAGTAAAAGTTTGGCTGACTTACACCCTGTATATGTTTTCCTTGGTAATTTTAGTAATGTCATGAAAAAAAAAATGTTTGACCTTTTTTAATAATGTGATATAGAAGTTGCGGAACTAACATGAACGGTTGATGACTATAATTGATTTAAGCTATAAAAGACTTATTAGTATAGTAGAAGAGGAGCTACATAAGGTATAGATAATGATGGAGGAAAATCGTATCATGGGAGATGATAACCCTATTAAAGTTGGAGATGAATATAAGGAAGAAGATGAAGGTGCAGATAATGATAGGAGAGATGATGATGCATTTAACGATGACGATGATGATGACGACTCAGATCAGGTACATGATCATGGAGATGACTCAAACGAGGTCAACACAATTGATGTTGAGGAAGAAGGAATACAAATAGGAAATAGGGATTTCTTTGAAACTTCCCCCATGGACAAGGGATTTCACCCCAAGCAATCACAAAGGGAGATGAAGTTGGCCATAAATTCTCCATAGATTTTGACAAGGCCTATTAAGAGCAAAAAGAGGACCACAAAGCCTAAGGACAAGTTTTTCAAAATAATTTCCTGCATTTATTCAAGTAAGGAGGGTGACAAATAAGTTCTTATTTGATGTACCCTTAACGATATTAATTATAATTTGTTTACTGACTAACTATACACATAATGATATTGACAACACATTTTTAAACCTTTAGTTAAAATATCTGATAGAGATATTACTTGAGACCAGCTAAAGACACTTGGTGGAATTAAGACAAAAAGTAACTGACTAAGTTATTGGGTTGGGTAGTTTAACTTTTTTATTTTATACTGTGTTTTAGCTTAGGGAAAACTAAAATTTATTTGCATACAGTTGATGTCAATTGTGTGCAAGACTTTGATAGCTGATATGAAGAGCGAAGGAGAAGTGAAGCAACACATTTTTTATGTTGACTTTGTGGTAAGCTTACTGAAATATTTAGTGGATTGTTGCTGATAAATGACTAACAGATTAATGTTCTAGGCAATAATGGCTGCGAACCCACATTGGTGGGATGGTGCAAAACAACATAAGCAATTTTTGCCTAACTATGTTGGTTACAACATACGAGATTGTGACTTGATATTTAGACCTACACTTATTGGTGCTCACTATTCTGTCTTGTGCTTGAGCCTAAAACGATGAATTTCTATGTGCTAGACTCAATGAAGCTAAATTTTGATGCTAAGAAGAACAGTAAGAAGAAGGGTGTAATTGATGATGATATTATGACCATGGTCACTAGATGTGTAAAGATATTGTTACTCTTCCTGTGTGAAATTCTTTTTATTCACCAATTTGTTTTGCAAATGCAATGTGTAGAGAAATCGATTTTATGACATGATTGACATAGTAAAGCCTAACATTATTGAAAAGAAGAAAATGAATGATATTATTTGGGCACCTGTTCCTCGATCTGTGAGTGGTTTAGGTTCTTGATACAATAATGTATGAATGGTAGTCTGTTTTTGACTCATAAAAATTGTTGCCATGTGCAAGTGAGATTGTTCCGTTCCTATATTAATATGGCTAAGCAAATGGGAGCCTGGTGTGATGCTTGACTATAGTAAAGAAAATGTTGCTGATTTTAAAGAAAACTTGATGTAGTGGCTAGTTAACCATGACCTCAATTCAAGGCGTGAAGAAGCATTGATATTTCTTTCATATAAAGAACCCACAATGAACAAAAAATAGCGCATGTGATAGTAGTAAATTAGGAAGATTAAGCATGTAGCATTAGTGCAAAAAATTGCATTATTTAAGTTTGATGATGTTTGACTTACAGATGTATGTAAAGGGATTTACAACTTGTTTTTAGGGAATGTGAAGCTGCCTGATTTCCTAGCATTCTTAAACTATTTGCGCATAATTTTACTAAATACATAATGGGATTTATAATTTGAGTAATGAAAGTGATCACTGCGTAAATAAGAGTTGTAACCTGTTTTCAGGGAATGTGCAACTTGTTTCTAACCACAAATAAACCATTTAAGGAGAATGTTACTAAACATGTAATGGGATTTACAATTCAAGTAATTAAAGTGACCATTCTGTTAATAGTATTTGCAACCCGTTTTTA